GTATCCTGTAGAATACCTACCTGCCTGCCAGTCAGGGTTTTTGCCACACGTGGACTAAAGCTAGGGCTTTTGGAAAGAATGCCCCAGAGCTGAAGTGCCCTTCTCTTGTGATCCTGCCATTGGGCTCACTTCATCATGCTGTTGTTACTCTTTCCCTTTCCTTATTTTGTTCTTTGGAAACGAGTTTCTAAGTATAGGTTGCCCTCCCAGAGGGAGAGGAAAAGGATTTAGCTCCACCTTGTGGAGGTGGAGGAGTATCTACATCTATTTGGCTCTGGGTAAGATTTGTTAAACTGAGTTTTGAATAAGTCAACCTTGTGTTTCTAAATAAACTCCACTTGCTTTTCCAAAGGAGTTTTGTTATGTATGAAGGCTATTGATCTGTAATTTTTGTCTTTTTAAGTTTTACACAATTTGATTGTCTAATACAATTAGATACAACTTTGATTTGTGTCTGGTTATGTACTAATGAATCATTTTCTTCTCAATTAGTGTATAAATAAGCATTAAAAACTTGGAGGCAGTGTTTTCTTCCAATTTTGGTTTTGCTTTTCTGCTTCAGAGATTCACCCATTGTTTCTGTTGAGATTCATGAGTCGAATATTGAGTCTTCCTTTAACACACTGAGCTCTTATGTTCATTTCAGAATTCAGTGGAGAATTTTAAAATATCAGTCTGTGTCTTGTTCCCCTTTAGAACTTTTAATTCTTTATAAATATGTCTATGGGAAGGCCTAGGTATACCTATTTGTTAAGTACTTTTATAATAATTTTTATATCTACTCTTTATTAAGAACTAAAAGGTTTTCAAAATAAATCAGTGACTAAAAATCAAACCTTTGAATACTTTTGACAATATTTGTAATGAAATACAAGTTTAAAAACATGTACTTTTATTTTTCTTTGTAGGTATCCTTTATTAAGAACTAAATCTTTCTGGTTTTCAGAATAAATCAGTAGCTTAAGAAAAATCAAAGTTTTGTATAATGTTGGTGATATCTGTTATAAAGAATCCACTTGTCAAAAATAGGCTTTTTGGGGGGGGGTACTGGGGATCAAACTTGGGACTTTGCTTTTGCGAGGCAGGAGGTGGAACCACTGAGCTAAATTCCTGGCCCAAAAATAGGCTTTTGAAAGGAAAGATTATTCCAGTAAATAGGGACTAAAATCAGGAGATTCTAGCAGCTAGCTAGAAAAAGCTGAGTTTATCACATTTGTATGTGGGACATTGGGAGTGAGAGAGAGAGCAACAGCTAGCTGGGAGAGATTTCATCTGTGAGTGGATGGGCAAATGCTAGGGGAGAGAGGGAGAGAGATATCAGCAACTAATTGGGAAAGGAATTAGGCTTATATAGGTATTGAAAGGGCTAAGGAATCTGGGGTGAAATGTTTATGACTTGGATGTCCCAGGACAGTCTGTACATGTGTGTAGACAGTTACTGACTTCTTAGTGCCAGGGAGGTTGTATACTTCATCTTGAGTGCATTTGCCTTTTTTTTTTTTTTATCCCCCCGGAACTAAAAAAAAGACTTTATTTATTGAGAGCAAGAGGATGCAAACAATATGAAAATCAAAAGCTTATCTAGCATTTAACTAACTATCCTTTCTCTGCTTGTCCAATGAGAGTTGGATGTTACTTATACAAAATCTTTTTTTTTTTTTGGTACCGGGGATCGAACTCGGATCCTTGCGCTTGCAAGGCAGGTGGCGGAACCACTGAGCTAAATCTCCGGCCCTGCTCATGAAATCTTTATACAAGGGGAAACTGAGGGGCAGATTCCATAAGTGGCCCTTTGGGAGAACTCTCATCTGGGCAGGAGTAAATGTTCAAATCTGCCTACTTCTTTCCCTTCTGCTTCCTCTGCACTACAAAACAATCATTGCACGCATTGGTGAGGCCTGCGATTAGTGAAAAGAAGCTCTGGAAGCCCACTTTGCCATCTTGGCACTAGTCTGAGTCCTTCATGATTTTGTCCACAGCCACAGTATCTTTTTGATTTTCCAAAAACCCAGGGAACTCCTTTTCCATGAGTACTCGCAGGTCCTCCTTTGTTAAGTAGCCTTTGTCCCCGGCAAATTTGTGAAACATAAACATCATGGTTTCTATGGCGTGTTCCATTTGGGGTGGCATTTTGGTGAAGTCTGTCGAAACCAGGGCACTCTGGCGATGGGTTGGGGGCGGCAGGTGGGCAGGGGGCCCCATTTGCCCTATTTACTGAGAAGTTGCTGTTGTTTGCTGAAAGTCCGTTTGCTTTGTCCTGTTGGTTTAGGCCAGGCCTGACAATATCCATAATGGAATAAAAGTTTAAATATATATTGAAATTCTCATATGGTATAATCAGAATAATTTGATTTTTATGTTGCAATTTACTATTACCCTTCAGCAAAATTTTGCTTGTGAATAGAATTTTGCTTGTAAAATTATGCAAAGGTTAATAGCTTGGTAGATAGATGAGTTAATTCTATAAGCCATATGGTCGAGGGTAAGTCTTGTTCTTAGACCAAAGGTTAGTAACCACTGGTAAAGGAGTCCTAGTGAATGTTGTCAGGTGGCTGACAACAGCTCCCATGTTTGGGCGCTGGAACCAGTTCAGGGCTGGCCGGACTCTTGATACCTGGTTCACAGCTTACCTCGGCCACAAGACATGGGGCAGAAGTTTGCCATGTAAGTCAGTGCTGTCACTCCCAAAAACTACCCTTGGGCTGTCCTTTTGTAGTTAATGCCCACCCTCCATTCCTAACCACTAGACACCAGTACAGTTTTGTCTCTTGGTGAATATCACATTTGGAATCATTACAGTATGTAATTTTGGTGGGGCACTATTATGATTTCAGTCCATTTGTGTCCAGAGTTCACACCTTTTAATTACTCAGTAGCACTCCTGGGTTTGGATGTAATGCAGTGCATCCATCCACACTCATCGGAGGCCATGTGTTTCCAGTTTTGGTGATCTAGAATAGAGCTGTAAGCATTGCCTTGCAGGCTTTTACTTGAATACAAAGGAATTATTTCCCTAGTGTAAATACCTTGAAGTGGGATTGTTGGATCAGTCTGTATATTTTTTTTAATTGTCTTTTTTTCTGGTGGCCTGTAGTATTTGTTTCAAAGAAACGGTTTTCAGATCATCTTGTCCTCTTTCGATTTCTTAGAGATTTGGGTGGAGAATAAACTATATAAATTTCAGTACTGTTGTGTTTACATTGAATTTGTTTGGAAAATCTTTGAGCTGTAATTGCAATAGTAGTTGAATTTAAAATGCTGTAGTCAATCTTTGCATGTATGGTGATGATTTCTCCTCTGTGATTTTACTATTCAGTGTGGTCTGTGGAATCTGGTGTAGGCTTCCCCTGGGAGCTCGTGAGAAATGCAGACTCTCAGGCCCCACCCAGTCTCTGCTAAGTCAGGATCGTCTTTGAGCAGGATTTCCAGTGATTGACATATATGCTGACATGAGCCCTGCTGGGCACTGGAGGAAGAGAGACTTTGTGAGGGCATGGCCCCTCCAGCTTATCTCATATCTTTCACTCTAATTTCACACACCTAGAAGTATGGCAGTAATGGTAGCAAACCAGTAAGAATGCTGAGGTTTTGTTGCATTAGGATGCTCTCGTATCTGAACATCAGAATATCAAAAGTGATACTGCAGTCATTAGGCTGAAAATGAAGTCCTGGTTACAGGTACCCTTTTGTTTTCAGGCACAGGAGTTCCTGAAGATGTGTTTCCAGGCATAGGATTTACTTTTACCATGGACAGTATGTGCATGTGTAGTTGGCTTTTTTTTTTTTTAACGTGGAAAATGTTGAGAAAGGGAAGAATGCAAAATGATAGTGTCATTTTTTTACCCTTGTGAGTTTTCTAATACAGCAGTTTGTTTCTGTTAAGAGTAAAGAAAATTTAAAAATTCTTAATCATGAGAATAAAGAGTCAAATTCTTCTTTTATTAAATTGCTAAGTAGTGTTGAAATGAACCTCACACTCAATAGGCACCTATCTTCCACCTAAGAGTGATCACTGAGCCTGACTTGGAGAAATGAGGTGATACTCAGCAGTAAGAATTGTCTGTGAGGAAGCTACTTTAGTTTAGGGTGAGGCTAGAGGAAATTTTTTTTTTTTTTTTGGTACCAGGGATCGAACTCAGGTCCTTGTGCTTGCACAGCAGGCGGCGAAACCATTGAGCTAAATGCCCGGCCCCCAAGTTTTTTTTTTTTTGGTACTGGGGATTGAACTCAGGTCCTTGTGCTTTCGAGGCAGGTGGCGGAACCACTGAGCTAAATCCCCGGCCCGCTAGAGGAAATTTTTTGAGGGAGGTACAGATAAAATAAAACTTAGAATAAAAGTTGGCTTTTGTGTGGTATGGCTGAAGAAAACAGTAGTTTTGCTCTTAAATTAGGCTCGGCCCTAGGGATTAGACAGAGCAGGTGAAGCAGGAAGGAGTGAGAGGAGGAAGGAAAGTGTGTGGAGGCTGAAGTAACATCAGCAGAGCTAACTGTTTGCCTAGCATGAAGGTCAAAGTACATAGGTCTGGAATCAGGACTTGTGAGCCCTCGTGGTTGGAAGGAGTGGGATATCACCTAGTCGAAGTTACAAGGAGGGGTATGTAAAACTCATAGAACTCTTTGCGTTTAACTTAGATTTAATGTATAAGTTTTAACTTTGAAATTATATTCAGGTTTAAGTTACATTGAATTTTATTTGCTATGAATCTGGATTAGATTCGAGGACAGGTCCAGCAAAAGTGTTTGCAGTTATGTTTGTCGTCTCAGACATGTAAGTAACAACCATATGTAGGATATTGTATATTAACTACAACCAGAAATTTGAGCTTTTTCCAATATTAAGTTAATTTTTAACCTTGAAATTAATTTTTCCTTGGGTCAGTTCAGTGTTTCTTGTGGCTTTATGTGAGGACATTTTGAAGTATCCTCACATCTTAGATATAACTTAATGTATTTTGGTGTTCACTCTCCCTTTCTGTTTGCTTTCTGTGTCTGCCATGTAGGGAGGTATCGAAACTTTGGAACTCCAGAAGGACATAAAAGAAGAATCAGATGAAGAAGATGACGAGGATGAAGAATCTGGACGATTACGTTTCAAAACTGAAAGGAAAGAAGGAACAATTATTAGGCTCTCAGATGTAACTAGAGAGAGAAGGAACATTCCAGAAACTTTGGGTAACTTTTTTGGCTGTCTTATCCTTCACACTCATTTCAAATTCTTTTACAGTTAAAATTAATCACACAAAGAAGGAAGGCTGACTGTAGGTGACTATGGCTGTCATTCAGAGGATGGATGGTCTGCATGAGGTCAGTGCTCAGTTGCAGTGCTGTGAAAGCCCTTCAGTGTGGATGAACAATTTGAATGAGACCTGTGCTGTTGCTTCTTTTTTTTTTTTTGAGGGTACCGGGGATCAAACTCAGGACCTTGCGCTTGTGAGGCAGGTGGCAGCACCACTGAGCTAAGTCCCTGGCCCTCCACTGTTGCTTCTTTATAAGTTTTCTTTTGGCATTTGTGGTCTAGAGCTGCTCTCCTATGCAGTCTGCTTTCCTGGCTGCTCCTGGGTGGGGTAGGGGTGTGGTATGAGGATGCTAGACAGGGCCCTATGGACCTTCCCAGGACCCTGCGGTTGCCAGGGGTAATTCTAGACCAAATCCGATTTACCATCCCTTTAGCATCCTCATAGCCAGCTTTGTTGGGTTTTCTCCTTCTCTTTGCCTTCCTCATGGTTAAGTGAGGAATTTGTTTATAGAAATAATGAACCGTCACTCTGAGCACACTCTACTTCTGGGTGATGTGCAGCAGAGGGTTGCTGACTAACAGCAGGGACCCCATGCCTCTTCTGCAGTAAGTTCCAGTGTCTCTTCCCATCAGGCAGTGCTTTTCAAGTTTGCTTGAGTGTCAGAATAACCTGAAGGAGGCTGGGGTCAATGGTAGGAGCGCTTGCCGGGAATCACCTCAAGGACTTTGTTAAATGTGTTTTTCAGCTCACTCCCAGCCATCTTGAGCTAAAATCTGTGCTGACTCAGGTGCTGCTATTTGGACCTGAAGTCCTGATACGCAGAGCCACTGGGATGCCAGCCTCCTTCCATAGGAGAGGGTGATGGTGTCAGGACTGTGCCTGCCTTTTGGTCACAGTCTAGGTCAGTGGTGGTGAACCTGTGGCACATGTATTGTTTATTTTTCTTTTAAGGCAAAAGATACTAATGAGCGAATTGTTTTTTCTAAACTAAAACTGGAGTGACATTCAAGTTTAATAGCAGTGTTGGCACTTTGATAAATAAGTGAGTTTTGGCTTGCAGTTTGAGCACTTGTCTCTAAAAGGTTTGCCATCACTGGTCTAGGTAGAAAATCAGTATCAAGCCCCAAATACTACCTTTGTTTTAGAAAGCATTGCTTATAGTTGCTTTTAACCCAAAACATGAACATGTGTCTTTGAGAGGCAGAGATAAATTCTCCAGCAGACACAAACCTCCCAAGCATAGAAGTTGGCGAAAATGAGCCAGTCTTCTCATGTTATGTTACTGAGCAGGATTTATAGAGTCTGCTATACTCTTAGCCTTCTCCATCTTCTCTGTCTAGTTGCCTTCTTCTCCACCTTTGGCCAAGATTTCCCTACACTGTCTCAGATTATGGTATAAAGTTGTCAGTTGGTCTGAACCAGATTTCATACAGACAGTGAAGTATTTCTTAGAAACTTGCTTCTGGGCCGCCATGCCACCACCCCCAGTGCCGAGGAGCAGAGCTGCCCCCAGTGCAGAGGAGGTGAACCTTCTGGGCCACCATACCACCATCCCCAGTGCCGAGGAGCAGAGCTGCCCCCAGTGCACAGGAGGTGAACCTTCTGAGCCACCATACCACTGCCCTCAGTGCCAAGGAGGTGAGCCTCACGGGTGCCAGCAGCAACCACCCCGCCCCGCCCCACCCTACCCCACCCCGTTGAATGAGAAGACACTTAAACAAATCTCAAAACCAGACTCCCAGATCACCTAACCCCAAAGGAAATAGAGATGGAACAATATGATACTCAAACACCTGGATTCCCTGAACTGGCAACAAAAGAGGATCTGGAAAAAATGAAATCAGAAATAATTTCTAAGATGACAGAGACTGTGCCCACAGTGCAAGACATGATTAGTAAGACTAGAGTGAACCCAGATAAAAATATAGAGGAGCTGGGGAACATGATGGAATACCAACATAGGAAACAAAGGGAATCCAGAAAACAGATACAGATTTCCAGGAGATTAAAAACTCCATTGAAAGTTTATGCAGCAGAATGAGCCAATGTGAGGACAGAATTTCAGATATAGAAGATAACATTGCAATTAGTGACCAGGAAAAGAAAAATCTCTTTAAAACAGTAAGGGAACCTGAGAAATCAATCTGGCAGCTGCTAGACGATGCAAAAAAGAATAACATAAGACTGATCAGAGTCAGTGAAGAAACAGAGTATAGGTGACATTAAAAAAATTGTTCACAGAAGTGATGGCAGAAAACTCAGGTGGGGAAAAGAACTTGACATACAGATAAGTGAGGCATATAGGACTACCAACTAGCCTTGATTAAAAAAAAAATCTACACATAGGCATATACTAGTTAAGATTCCAGAAACCCAACAGAAGAACAAAATTCTTCAAGCAGTTAGAGAAAAGAAACAAATCACATACAAAGGAAAGCCCATTAGAATCACAGCAGGCCACTCAATGCAAACCCTCAAGGCAAGAAGAGCTTGGAGTGATGTATTCCAAGCCCTAAAGGAAAACAACCTGCAACTCAGATTGATGTACCCTGCAAAACTATCTTTCTAAACTGATGGAGAAATAAGATACGTTCATGACAAAGAGCACCTTAGGAACTTCATGAATACCAAAACAGCACTCCAGAAGATTTTAGACAATATCCTAGGAAAACACAACGAGGATTACAACCCCAGGGAGCCTAGCAGAATGAATCCATTGGGCGTGACAAGAAATTAAATGCAAAGGGGGAGAATCCAACAAGAAGAAAAAGTCATGACAATGATAAGTCAATATGTATCAGTTATAACTATCAATGTTAATGGTCTCAATTCACCAATCAAAAGAAATAGACTGGCGGAATGGGTCAAGAAGCAAGATCCAACAATATGCTGCATACAAGAAAC